ATTAATCGTCAGTGATCCCTTGAGAGCATCACACAAGCGCAAGAGGCAGGCCAGCCGGTCATGTACCGACAGTTTACCGACGCCTGCATGTAAGCATTCTTCTACAGCAGGCTTCCTCAAACTGTGTCAACAACCCGGTGAAAGCCATCAGATGTTGGAAACATCAGCGCCGAAAGTGACGTCAGACCAAATGACTTTACCACAGGAAGTTAGGCACATCAGGTGAGCAGCTGAGGCATCCGGCGTCAGAGCTCTAACTGGGTGCTGTTGTGAAACTTCATACACTATGTATGCTATTGGACCGTGTTACATCTAGTTAGATTTCGTAGGGAATTCCCAGGAAAGTCCAGTATTAGGGGCGGGGTAGGGTTAGTGTTTTTAGGTGTCTATTCACACCCCAGAATCCCTATACTAATGGACTTTTACTGGGAATTCCCTTACTTTTAAAAGAAAAAAAAAAAAAGGGGGGGGGGCGGGCGGAAAAAAGGGGGGTGGAGGTGTTGCAAAAGCAAGACTTCATTATGCGTGGGGTGGGCAACAGCAGTTTTGTGTGTAAACCTTCTCAGAATGCACCATGAAGGCACTAGACGCAGAGCAGGCAGTACTTGAACCCAGCCGTTATCCGTGGCGCTCAGATCTTCATTGGCGGAGCACTGTGTGTACATGGCGCGGTCAGAACTGGGGCACCGGATCAACGAAGACAAGCTAGTAAGGAGACACTGGACTGGACCCTCCCCCTCCCACAAACACACACACACTCTAACTAATCGACCATAGTCGTAAACTAAACTAAAGTGTCTGAACCCGAAATGGGAACTAGCAAGTGTCATGGGAAGTAAAGGCAGCTGGCGTGATATTCATCACCTCAGGTATGTGAAAAATGTCCTTTATTGGACTACTGAATGTCCTTTATTAGACTACTGAATTTCCTTTATTGGACTACTGAATTTCCTTTATTGGACTACTGAATGTCTTTTATTGGACGACTGAATGTCTTTTATTGTACATGAGGGGCGGGAGCCACATATTCCATGCAGGAAACGCGCCTGTACATGAGGGGCGGGAGCCACATATTCCATGCAGGAAACGCGCCTGTACATGAGGGGCGGGAGCCACATATTCCATGCAGGAAACGCGCCTGTACATGAGGGGCGGGAGCCACATATTCCATGCAGGAAACACGTCTGTACTTAAGGGGCGGGAGCCACATATTCCATGCAGGAAAGACGCATGTACTTTAGGGGCGGTAGCCACATATTCAATGCAGGAAACACGTCTGTACTTAAGGGGTGGGAGCCACATATTCCATGCAGGAAACACGTCTGGACTTAAGGGGCGGGAGCCACATATTCCATGCAGGAAACACGTCTGTACTTAAGGGACGGGAGCCACATATTCCATGCAGGAAAGACGTCTGTACTTGAGGGGCGGAGCCACATATTCCATGCAGGAAACACGCCTGTACTTTATGGGCGGGAGCCACATATTCAATGCAGGAAACACTCCTGTACTTTAGGGGCGGTAGCCACATATTCAATGCAGGAAACACGCCTATACTTTAGGGGCCGTAGCCATATATTCCTTTATTGGACTACTGAATGTCCTTTATTGACTGCTGAATGTCCTTTATTGACTGCTAAATGTCCTTTATTGACTGCTGAATGTCCTTTATTGACTGCTGAATGTCCTGTATTGGACTGCTGAATGTCCTTTATTGGACTACTGAATGTCTTGTATTGGACTACTGAATGTCCTTTATTGGACTACTGAATGTCCTGTATTGGACTACTGAATGTCTTGTATTGGACTACTGAATGTCTTTACTGAATGTCCTTTATTGGACTACTGAATGTCCTTTATTGGACTACTGAATGTCCTGTATTGGACTACTGATTGTCCTTTATTGGACTACTGAATGTCCTTTATTGGACTACTGAATGTCCTTTATTGGACTACTGAATGTCCTTTATTGGACTACTGAATGTCTTTTATTGGACTACTGAATGTCCTGTATTGGACTACTGATTGTCCTTTATTGGACTACTGAATGTCCTGTATTGGACTACTGAATGTCCTGTATTGGACTACTGAATGTCCTTTATTGGACTACTGAATGTCCTTTATTGGACTACTGATTGTCCTTTATTGGACTACTGAATGTCCTTTATTGGACTACTGAATGTCTTTTATTGGACTACTGAATGTCCTGTATTGGACTACTGAATGTCTTGTATTGTACCACTGTTGACACTGTCAAACTTTTAGACCAGGTTTGGAGGTCGCCAGCTAGAAACATAATAGGCAGATGTGGTTCCTTTCTTTTCTGTCACCCCATATCGTAGTAAATCCCGGGAAAGTCCACTATTACTGGGAGGGGGGGGGGGGTTAGTGTTAGTCTGTGTTCATTTCGCACCCTAACACCGCAAGATACTTTAACTTGAGACGACCCCCATCTCCCCGGCTTCAAGGAAGGTAGGCCAATCCCCAGAACGGGTTGTATGTGTGGTCGTGGGTGGGGTTAGAGTTAGTAGTAGTTGCTACTATTCATTCAACACTTGCTTAAATATTACCCCCCGCCCCCCCCCCCACCCCTTTTATATCCCTGTGAGTTGTCTACGAAGTGTTGGAGGCGACAAGATGCGGTCGTGTAAAATTAAAATACCTACCCTTATACTATTGGACTTTCCCGGGGATTGCCTACGAAATCGTGGAGAAAAGAACCACAGGTTTCGTCCTAAAACGATATCTGAATGAGATAACACACTCTTTTGATTGATGAAGCTGTTACTGTATAAAGATGTCGACCAAAGAAAAGAAGCCTTTACCTTTGTCAAAGTGCGCCGACAGATGTTGTCCTCAACGCGTGTTTCACTAACAACATCAAAGATTCGTCGACATCAGTTTCTGGTTACCACTGTCTAGGTTATTATTATTTTAGATATTGATATTTGCGGATTTGTCTCCATCTTTTTGCTTTCGGAAATATGTGTATGTGTGTGCTCAATGGGCAACATTTATAGTCATTTTTACCTGCGAGGGCAAGTAAAAATTGCTCTGCGGGCCAATTGAAGCCCGCGGACCATAGTTTGTACACCCCTGCATTAGACTTTCCATGAGAATCCTAGTGCTAATTGACACCAAAGTTTCAGTTGTCTTGATTTGTTAGATGACATAAGCACAGAAATCTGCCTCCACCAGTGTCCCCATTGTGGCTATCAGGATGCGAAGATTGACTTTGTCTCTCCGACATTCAGCATAGTTTATCTGTGAAAAGGTCGTTGATTTGTGGAGCGTGCTTTTGTAACTTTCGCTTGGGAGTGTTGTTTGAACGTGGCCTGAGCTGTCTGGTCCGTGTGAGAGTGTTTGAACGTGCGCCGGAGCTTCCGACCCCCAGTGTCAACCCCGTTAGCCGGTGAAATTAGCCCATTTTTGTCCTGGTGATGTTATTGACTTTACCCAGAGTTATCCAGTGTGTTTGTGGAGTTCACAGAGTTGGGGAAATCGCTGCGACCGGTTAACTTGTACTTTTTTATTTAGCGTGCCCGCACGGATGTCTTGAATGAAAAGATGGTTGAAGTAACGTTTTTCTCCCCACACCCCGCCTATATACACACTTGCTCACTTCTGATTGGTAGTTCCTGAAACTGTCACTTTGGAACAAGGTTACGGGGTGTTCGGCAATGCCGTTGATATCGCGTGTTGTATATTTCAGCACGCCAGCGCTTTTAACATTCCAAAAACATGCAGAAACGGCCTAATTTCCCTAGAGGGTGCTGCAACCTATGTCACAGGCATTCTCTTTCTCGGAATGAAAACGTAAGTGCAAGACAACACAGAAAGCAAACAACAGAGCCGGAAACAACCGTAACCTTTAGTAAAGTCGACCAGCCCATCGAACTTATGAATGAAAAGTGACCTGCTTTGTTTGGGGAGATTAACATGAACCTACCCGAAACATGAACATGTTTTAGATTTTATTCTCTAGTTTGTTTTCCTCTATTCTCACACGCTATCTCCCATCCCCAGGTGTTGCCAGTGTTCGAAACTTTCTGTGTGCTGTCTCATCATGTGGCGTGTCGATAAGCTTGGGCGGTCTTGATTCAAAATGTACATTACTTTGCCTCACTACATTAGGGGAAGGAAAGGGCGGTCAGCCTACGTACCTAATAGCCCCATGTTCCGGCGCCCTTGATTCTGATGACCATATGATCCTTAAATTGGGGAAGGGGGGGGGGGGTAGGAATTCAGCTAATGGTGATGATGATGATAATAATAATAGTAATAATACTAGTGTTAGTTATTATTATTAATATTGCGTAGTTAAACAAGGTTTAAGTCTGTTGAACCGTTTCCCCTAGAAATTTAAGTTCCACCTTCCACAATTATTTCCTTGTCGGTGCGCTGTAAAGATGGTGAGACCAGGTCTGTGTTCTTGCCCATGCTAAGACACAGATATTTATTAATTTGCTAATTTTCCATCCGGGGTTATACCATTTTCGATTATTTCATTGGAAATTTGTTTTAGGTTATTTATAACAGATCAGCACGATTTGGATTCTTTCAGTCCTTACTCGCATAGTAACTCCCGTGTAGCCGTTATACGGGGGCCCTAATTATAACCTTTAGAGATTTAACCGAATGTCTGAGATTTGCCTTGTTGGTTTACCATCGACATTTGAATTTGTAATTCTCAGAATGGTTTGGTAAACCTTTCGGGAGCGGCTTAAAAGGGACAAACTAAACTGCTGGTCGATCTGTTTTGATTCTAACCCAAGACATTGATCATGGACGAGATCAGTGAAGCCAAGGTGGAATGGATGACATGAAGTGATAGTGATGATAGTAGTGGCAATTATGATGTTAGTATGAACTGAGTTATCTTTCCCAGGTATTTGTCTGGAAGCAATTGGTGAAGCCAAGGTGGAATGAATGACATGAAGTGATAGTGATGATAGTAGTGGCAATTATGATGTTAGTATGAATTCTGTTATCTTCCCCAGGTATTTGTCTGGAAGCGATCGGTGAAGCCAAGGTGGAATGGATGACATCCAGCGATATACAGAACTCCGACGAGGAAATTTTCAACCACACTTCCGTGCTGCCTATTAAAGGTTAGTATAGACGCGGAGCTGGGGTTACATAAAAGTAAAGGACACATAGGGCATATAGGGCTAGACATTATTTTATAGACCAATCAGCACAAGATGGAGAATTTTGTGTAGCATCACACCGGTCGCCTTTACTTTCCGGGATTGCGCCCAGTACCCACTCAAGGCTGGGTCGACCTGGGAGCAAAGGTCACTGGGGTTACATAGCCGTCTTTACTTCCCAGGATACACCCCATTTCGGTTTCTGATATCATAAGTCAATTATAGTGGTTCGTAGGCGTTTGGGTTGTCGGGGAAAAGAAAAAAAAAGGGGGGGGGGGGGGCGTCCACTCCTATGGAACATGTTAAGAGACAAACTTGTTAGTTTTAGAAATTTTCTTGTTGTTTTAGATACCTATTAGCGATGAAATATATTGTCACAGGTTGCGAGGCCTAATTTTTACGACTCTAGAGTTTAAATTTTAGTCTTAACATACCAACCACCTCTGCTAAGAGAGACTGAATACATATATTATGTTCCAGAGTGTGGCGACATCCATTAGAAGTTGCAGGTCTAGTGCAGGTCAGGAATCCCATCAGTAAAGTGAAACATGTGGTGCGCAATATAGCAGACGCACCACAAATACCGGAGTAGGAATGTTTGTTGATTGTTACCTAGGCAACGTGCTTGTACTTGTGGCGGCGGTTATTCTGAAGTAGATTCCCTGGTGGGAAGATAACTTGCTAAATAAGATGTATATATATCAGAGGAAATCTTTATAAGATTGGTTTACCGTCTCTCTTCCATCATGTGTGGTTCTTCTCTAGTTCTCAGCAGTCAGTTTTCTGACATCATTTGCCTCCAAACATCTCGCAGCTAAGACCACGAATTGCCATCTTCCTTCCTTACATCTAAACACGCTGTAGCTGAGGGCTTGAATAACCATCTTGCTTTCTTTACATCCAGATCTCCCCTAGCTCAGAGTTAAATCACCATCTCACATTCTTTATATCTAAATCTGGCATACCTAGGAGCAGCAACCGTCATCTGCTTTCCCGTATATCTAAATCTGGCATAACTTGGAGCAGCAACCACTATCTGCCTTCTCTTATATCTAAATCTGGCATAACTTGGAGCAGCAACCAACATCTGCCTCCCCTTATTTCTAAATCTGGCATAACTTGGAGCAGCAACCACTATCTGCCTCCCCTTATATCTAAATCTGGCATAACTTGGAGCAGCAACCACTATCTACCTCCCCTTATATCTAAATCTGGCATAACTTGGAGCAGCAACCACTATCTGCCTCCCCTTATATCTAAATCTGGCATAACTTGGAGCAGCAACCAACATCTGCCTCCCCTTATTTTTAAATCTGGCATAACTTGGAGTAGCAACCAACATCTGCCTCCCCTTATATCTAAATCTGGCACAACTTGGAGCAGCAACCACCATCTGCCTCCCCTTATATCTAAATCTGGCACAACTTGGAGCAGCAACCACCATCTGCCTCCCCTTATATCTAAATCTGGCACAACTTGGAGCAGCAACCACCATCTGCTTTCCCGTATATCTAAATCTGGCATAACTTGGAGCAGCAACCACTATCTGCCTTCCCTTATATCTAAATCTGGCATAACTTGGAGCAGCAACCACTATCTGCCTTCCCTTATATCTAAATCTGACATAACTTGGAGCAGCAACCACTATCTGCCTCCCCTTATATTTAAATCTGGCATAACTTGGAGCAGCAACCAACATCTGCCTCCCCTTATTTTTAAATCTGGCATAACTTGGAGTAGCAACCAACATCTGCCTCCCCTTATATCTAAATCTGGCACAACTTGGAGCAGCAACCACCATCTGCCTCCCCTTATTTCTAAATCTGGCACAACTTGGAGCAGCAACCACCATCTGCCTCCCCTTATATCTAAATCTGGCATAACTTGGAGCAGCAACCACCATCTGCTTTCCCGTATATCTAAATCTGGCATAACTTGGAGCAGCAACCACTATCTGCCTTCCCTTATATCTAAATCTGGCATAACTTGGAGCAGCAACCACTATCTGCCTTCCCTTATATCTAAATCTGGCATAACTTGGAGCAGCAACCAACATCTGCCTCCCCTTATTTCTAAATCTGGCATAACTTGGAGCAGCAACCACTATCTGCCTCCCCTTATATCTAAATCTGGCATAACTTGGAGCAGCAACCACTATCTGCCTCCCCTTATATCTAAATCTGGCACAACTTGGAGCAGCAACCACTATCTGTCTTCCCTTATATCTAAATCTGGCATAACTTGGAGCAGCAACCAACATCTGCCTCCCCTTATATCTAAATCTGGCATAACTTGGAGCAGCAACCACCATCTGCCTCCCATTATATCTAAATCTGGCATAACTAGGAGCAGCAACCACCATCTGCCTCCCCTTATATCTAAATCTGGCATAACTTGGAGCAGCAACCACCATCTTTCGTCCTTACCTCCAAATCTCCCATAGTGCCAATCACTGCCACATTTGAGCCATGGTAATGCGTTCATGCCAGTCTGATGGTCATGCATTTTTATCGATTGGGATTTCTGGTCGTCCCTGCTTAGTAGTTGTACCAGGAAATGTGCTGGGAAGTAAAGACCGTCGTATGATATTGTTTGTATGACTCATCGAATACCGATATGTTAATAAAAACTTTGCGGTTTCAGTGAAAACATTTGTTAGATACTTTTTCATAAATCGACCTTGGCTCCCAGGTCGACACAGCCTTGAGTGGGTACAGTCCCGGGAAGTAGAGGCGGCCGGCGTGATGCTGACCACATCACCCATCTTGTGCCGATTGGTCTATAAAAATGTAGGTCTAGCCCTATATGCCCTATACGCCTAAAGGCGTGGAAAAGGGTCCTTTACTTACTTACTTACTTTACATATATTAATTACGCGTCAGGTTGTGGTAAAGGTCTCAACTTGTTTATTTTTTTTTACTGTCGTCCTCGACAAATACAATTTATATGTTCTGTGTTTGTTTGGTTGTTTCGTTGTCTGCCTGAAGTCAGTTCGTACACTGATAGATAAATCAATGGCATGCTTCGCCCAACGGCGTTGTCAGTAAACCAAGCTTTCTAATTCGTTTCCCCAAAAGTGTTTGGTCTATGTAAGGACTCTCTTATAATTAGTATTATCTTGTTTTTGTTATTGATGTGTTGAGGTTTTATTTATGTTTATATTTTTGTGCAATATATCCTTGTCATTGAGAGTTAGAAAAAGAATTCTTGCTTGCTACATACATCCAGTTTTAACATATGGATGTGAATCCTGGACAATCGGTAGGCAGGCCAAACAATTTTTGGAGGCCTCAGAGATGTGGTTTTACAGAAGAATGCTTAGAATACCTTGGACAGCCAAAAAGAGCAACCAAGAGGTTTTAAAAGAGGCGGGAGACCGAAGACAACTTATCACTGACATCAGAAGGAGACAGTCATCATTTTTCGGCCATGTTATGAGAAGAGGGAAAATAGAACATGTTGTGACCACTGGAACGATCTGTGGAAGGAGGGATAGAGGAAGACAACGAGAGAAGATGCTTGACAGTCTTGTTGCATGGCATGGAGGTGTGTCGGCACACGAACTGATACATGCTGCAGGAGATCGCGGATTATGGAGAGGCATGATCGCCCACGCCAGTCGGCAAGGCACCTGATGATGATGATGATATTTTAAGGTGTTAAAGGTGTTGTAATCTTCTTCTCAGCATATTTTATGTGGGATTTTTTTTCTACGCTTATTTCACTCTCATCCTCTTCCTTTTCTTCTATCTTCATTTCCAGCATTCTTCCTTCTCCTCCTCCTTCTGCTCCTTGTTCTTTAATATTATTATCTTTTTTTCTCCTCATCCAGCGTGTCTATTTTACCTTGCAGCTCTAGGTTAAGAAGAGACGCCTGACTGGAGCTCTTACTCTCAATGTGTCATTCAGTTCACAACACTCCATCACACTATCCCAAACGTAAAATAATAGCTAAAGCTCTTTACGGGTTGCTGTCTCGTGATTATTCTCTGACATGACCGAACCATTCTGTAAGGGTTGCTGTCTCGTGATTATTCTCTTACATGACCGAACCATTCTGTACGGGTTGCTGTCTCGTGATTATTCTCTTACATGACCGAACCATGACAGTTGAACTCTTTATGTTTCTTTCCCAGGTGAGAAACAGATCAACGACGAGGGCGTCCTCCACTCAGGCTCCCACTACTTTCCCTTTGAATTTACCCTACCACAGAAGCTTCCTTCTTCGTTTAAGGGCAAGCATGGCCGCCTTCGCTACTATGTGCGCATGTCTGTCTACACACAGGACATGTTCTCGCAGTCTGGACCGCACACGGAACGCATCAGCAAGTTCGCTGTTATAGGAGCTCTGGACCTCAATCATGAACCAGACGCTTCGGTGAGCAGTCGTTTGTTCCCGGAAAAAGAGTGGGGGGGGGGGGGTTGGAGGGGGTGGTTTGGGAGGGGTGGTTTAATGAACGAATAGCTGGATGTATGGGTTTGGGGATGGATGTTTGGTGAACGAATGGCTGGATGTATGGGTTGGGGATGGATGTTTGGTGGACGAATGGCTGGATGTATGGGTTTTGGGGTGGATGTTTGGTGAACAAATGGCTAATTGTATGGGTTTGGGGATGGATGTTGGGTAACGAATGGCTGGATGTATGGGTTTGGGGATGGATGTTTGGTGGACGAATGGCTGGATGTATGGGTGGGGGATGGTTGGTTTGGTGGATGAATAGCTGGATGTATAGGTGTGGGTGGATGGTTTGGTGGATGAATGGTTGGATATGTGTGTGTGTGTGTGTGTGTGTGTGTGGGTGGATGGTTTGGTGGATGAATAACTGAATGTATGGGTGGGTGTGGATGGTTTGGTGGATGAATGGCGGGATGTATGGGTGGGGATGGGTAAAGGATGTTTGGTGGACAAATGGCTGGATATGTGTGGGGGGGGGGGGGGGGTGGATGGTTTGGTGGATGAATGGCTGGATGTGTGTGTGGGGTTGAATGGTTTGATGGATGAATGGTTGGATGTATGGGAGGGGATAGGTGGTTTGGTGGATGAGTGGCTGGATGCATGGGTGGGTGATGGATGGTTTGGTGGATAAAAGGCTTGATGTATGTATGGATGGTTTGGGGGACGAATGACTGGATGTATGGGTGGGTGTGTGATGGATGGTTTGGTGGATGAATGGCGGGATGTATGGATGGGTGGGGGATGGCTTAGTGGATAAATGGCTGGATGTAGGGGGGGGGGGGGTGGGTAGATGGTTAAATGTTTGGGTGGTTTGAAGTATGGCAGATAATGGGATGAATGGTTGGACGTTTGAGTGAATAGTTAAATGTTTGGGTGGTTTGATGAATGGCAGATAATATGATGGATGGTTGTGTATTGTCTTGGCACTGATGATACTGATAGGAGCGGTGCTATATAGGAATAAGGAGGATATTTGTGCTGGTAAAGGAGATGACGATGATAATTATGGTTATCATGTCTCGTGTTTCCTGTCTATGTTTCTTAAATAGTCTTTTGGGCAGTTGTATCATAGCCCATGTTATTTTGTGCTAATGAAAGCTTTTGGTCCGCAGCCTTCGTTTTGACATTCGTAATTATGATTCATTAGAAAGCTATTTAGTTTTATTTCTTGTTTGTTCTGATGCTGTTTTTATTATACTTCGTGTTGCCTGTTGCCTAGCCTGTAGCTTAGAGTTCAGCAAAATATACACACAGACACACGCGCGCGCACACACACACACGCACATAAGCCTGCGCGCACACACAAACCTCACACGATTTGATATATTTCAGCAGCAGATAAAGTGGATTACAACTCCCGCAGGGCTGTAAATGAAGTTACCCACACGTAAAGCGTCTTTTGGCGGCTTGTTTGAGAGCAAACGGCTCTCTCCTGTGCCAACAAATGGAATGAACATTCTTCATCGCTTGCGGCGAAAATATGAAAGTTTCGACGCTAAAATGCCGCAGTTCCTTTTTACCTAAGGCTTATTATAGTGTGTGATAAATTACCTGCTCCGTTTTTTTCTGATATCGTTCTTTTTGTACAGCTGGGAAGAATCGTCAAATATTGTCTCGTTTTTTTTAGGGGGAGTTTGAGGGAGGGAACTCGATCCAGACTTGCAAGTGTTCACTGAAGGTAATTATTCCCGACTTGGCCGCGAGTGACCCCTTGGCAATCAATCTCTAGTGTCTTAGCTCAGAATATATTGGGGCGTCTGTTATATCACACCGCCTCTGATTGTCAAAGTTCATGATTTTTCTTTTATGCAAGGCGTTTCGGCAAACGGACTTTTGTTTTATGTTCCCCTTCTTGTCATCATCATCATCATCATCATCATCATCATCATCTCCTTCTTCTTCTTCTTCTTCTTCTTCTTCTTCTTCTTCTTCTTCTTCTTCTTCTTCTTCTTCTTCTTCTTCTTCTTCTTCTTCTTCTGTTCTTCTTCTTCTTCTTCTTCTTCTTCTTCTTCTTCTTCTTTTTTCTTCTTCTTTTTCTCTTCTTCTTCTTCTTCTTTTCTTCTTCTTCTTCTTCTTCTTCTGTTCTTCTTCTTTCTTTATCTTTCTTCTTCTTCTTCTTCTTCTTCTTCTTTTCTTCTTCTTCTTCTTCTTCTTCTTCTTCTTCTTCTTCTTCTTCTTCTTCTTCTCTTCTTCTTCTTCTTCTTCTATCTTCTTCTTTTTCTTCTTCTTCTTCTTCTTCTTCTTCTTCTTCTTCTTCTTCTTCTTCTTCTTCTTCTTCTTCCTCTTCTTCTTCTGCTGCTGCTGCTCTTCCTCATTACCGGCTTCTTCTTCTAATTTGTATTCACGCCATACCTACCATCCCGCCCTATGTACATCGCAGTTACCACCCTGTCTTGTGGTGGTTCCACATTCTGCTCTGCCTTGTCCACTTGTCACTGATAATCCTGTCCTGTTGTCCTGTCACAGCTGCCTGTAGAGAACGACACCTTCGAGACGGTGGGCTCCTGGTGCTGCCTCTCCGGCACCGTCACAGCCATGCTGAAGCTAGACCGCAAGGGCTACACTATCAAGGAAGCCATCCCTGTCTATGCTGAAATCAAAAACCTCAGCACTAGAAGAATCGCTTCTACCCAGGTCTCGCTTATACAGGTGAGTACGGCAGTGTGTGTTTTCTCTTTCTCTATCTGTCTCTGCCTGGCTATCTATCTATCTATCTATCTATCTATCTATCTATCTATCTATCTATCTATCTATCTATCTATCTATCTATCTATCTATCTATCTATCTATCTATCTATCTATCTATCTGTCTGTCTGTCTGTCTGTCTGTCTGTCTGTCTGTCTGTCTGTCTGTCTGTCTGTCTGTCTGTCTGTCTGTCTGTCTGTCTGTCTGTCTGTCTGTCTGTCTGTCTGTCTGTCTGTCTGTCTGTCTGTCTGTCTGTCTGTCCGTCCGTCCGTCCGTCCGTCCGTCCGTCCGTCCGTCCGTCCGCCCGCCCGTCCGTCCGTCCGTCCGTCCGTCCGTCCGTCCGTTCGTCCGTCCGTTCGTCCGTCCGTCCGTCCGTCCGTCCGTCCGTCCGTCCGTCCGTTCGTCCGTCCGTCCGTTCGTCCGTCCGTCCGTCTGTATTTGTGCATGTAATCTGGTAATCCTAGTTTCAGCTTCATAGCAAACGGGTCACCCCATAGTTGCTCCGCTCCTGTGCCAACGAAAAATACACGCAGCCATTTGTACATGTGCTGATGGTTGATATTGAAGCCAGGCTTCTCAATCTTATGTCGGTGTAAACAGTCTATTGTGAAAGGGTCTCCCATTAGAACTGATATGTCATTGGAAAAATGTATGTAAGAAATTAGGCCAAAAGGGCTGAATGTAAGACGGGCCTGCGTGCTCAGTTTTTAACCCTTTGAAAATAAAGTTTGTTGGTTCGTTGATGGATACAAATATCAATGTGTTACATGCAGAACAAATCAATCACACTGGTCTGCAGGTTTTCTTTGTATGTTTATCTACCAACACTCGTATTTGTATGTTTGTCTACCAGCACTCGTATTTGTATGTTTGTCTACCAGCACTCGTATTTGTATGTTTGTCTACCAACACTCGTATTTGTATGTTTGTCTACCAACACTCGTATTTGTATGTTTGTCTACCAACACTCGTACTTGTATGTTTGTCTACCAACACTCGTATTTGTATGTTTGTCTACCAACACTCGTATTTGTATGTTCGTCTACCAACACTCGTATTTGTATGTTTGTCTACCAACACTCGTATTTGCATGTTTGTCTACCAACACTCGTATTTGTATGTTTGTCTACCAACACTCGTATTTGCATGTTTGTCTACCAACACTCGTATTTGTCTGTTTGTCTGCCAACACTCGTATTTGATTTATTTCTAGACTAGTTTATTCAAGTGGTAGTGTGTGGTTTAGTCTAACACTGAAATAAAAGCCTTATGTTTTACACTGGTATGTATGACCTATTTATGCAGTTACATAAGACTAATTCTACACATGTGTGTGTGTCTGTTCCTACCTTGGTACTTATGAAGAATTCCAGAGAAATTTGACTGAAAAGGTCAACAAAATGGGGAAGCAGAAAAACGTGCACAAAACAAACAACGTAACGTTTCGGCCGGGCAGCCTTTGTCAAACTACACAAACATAACTACGAGGAGAGGAGAGTATATAGATCTCTAAGACATGACGTGAGCAACGTTTAAAAAAAAATGTGATGTGGAATAAATGAAATAAAATAAAATAAACGAATCTTAAAAAAAAAATACACACACACACACTCACGCACGCACGCACACACACACACACACAACACACACACACACACACACACACACACACACACACATATATACCATATATATATATATATATATGATAATATATATATATATATATATATATATATATATATATATCTTGGTACATTTGGCGTATTTCTACAATGGTATGTATGTCAGTTCCTACTTGGGACATATGATGTATTTCTTCACTGGAATTTTTACGAAATCCGGCTCTATGACATATCTCCACACTGGTAGACGATTCAATTCCTCTACGTCAATGCGTTCTAACCGTCCCTGCTGTTTGTATCCTTTGTCTGCTAAAAGACTCCATTTTGCATTATAAGATGCACATCTTACTTTCTCTCACGCCATGATCATCTTGTCTTTAAGAGGACCACCGAAAATAAGACACGGCTGCTGCGAAGCGCCACCTGACTGGTGGTGCAGCTGACTAGTTCGGCACAGCCGGAAGTCATGGGCGTATTCTGATTTTGGCTCTTATTGGCTACATTCTGCTTCCGGTATGTCAGACTACTTCCGGGACAGATTGGCAGCCATGGGTACTGTACCTATAATTTAACTTCCGGTATGAAAAATATTTTTCATTGATTGAATAATTAGGAGTATAGTACTTCTTCTGTGTATCTGTCATTTGTCTTACTTTTCATTTCTTTTAGCATTTATGTTTTCTCTTTACAGAGCCCCCCCCCCCCTTCTTTTATTACCTTTTTTTCCCAGTCTAACTGCTTTATACTGTACTTTGTGTTTCTTTGTTTTTGATTCCTGTGTGTCTCTTTCGAGGCGCTACCGTTTTGAATTCTTTAGAAATCTTCTTGTCTCAGTGGCACCTTCAACCAGATCTCAGTGGCACTTTCAAGCAGATCTCAGTGGCACCTTCAAGCAGATCTCAGTGGCACTTTCAAGCAGATCTCAGTGGCACCTTCAAGCAGATCTCAGTGGCACTTTCAAGCAGATCTCAGTGGCACTTTCAAGCAGATCTCAGTGGCACCTTCAAGCAGATCTCAGTGGCACTTTCAAGCAGATCTCAGTGGCACCTTCAAGCAGATCACAGTGGCACCTTCAAGCAGATCTCAGTGGCACCTTCAAGCAGATCTCAGTGGCACCTTCAAGCATATCTCAGTGGCACTTTCAAGCAGATCTCAGTGGTTTTAGAACAAAGGTTTCTACTGCTTGGTGGTAATGTGATTTGCACCGTTTGGTTTACGAGTGCATTGTTTTCCAAGGCCTTGTGATGAACTGACATAAAAACGTTAAGCATAACTGATCGGCTCTACAAGCACAAAACTACGACGAAATATACGTGGCAGCATAGTTAAACAAAAGGATATTTTACAACATACTAACATAAAGACACATCTCATGACCTTTTTAAGTTTTATGTCCAGGAGTCACCTTAATATCCATATATACAGCAATATAACATAATATCCCTTATTGAGGAGTACCCCTTGGCTTTGAGAATCTCTTCTTCTTCTTCTTCTTCTTCTTCTTCTTCTTCTTCTTCTTCTTCTTCTTCTTCTTCTTCTTCTTCTTCTTCTTCTTCTTCTTCTTCTTCTTCTTCTTCTTCTTCTTCTTCTTCTTCTTCTTCTTCTTCTTCTTCTTCTTCTTCTTCTTTCTTCTTTCTTCTTCTTCTTCTTCTTCTTCTTCTTCTTCTTCTTCTTCTTCTTCTTCTTCTTCTTCCTTCTTCTTCTTCTTCTTCTTCTTCTTCTTCTTCTTCTTCTTCTTCTTCTTCTTCTTCTTCTTCTTCTTCTTCTTCTTCTTCTTCTTCTTTCTTCTTCTTCTTCTTCTTCTTCTTGTCTTCTTCTTCTTCTTCTTTCTTCTTCTTCTTACTTTCTTCTTCTTCTTCTTCTTCTTCTTCTTCTTCTTCTTCTTCTTCTTTCTTCTTCTTCTTCTTCTTCTTCTTCTTTTCTTCTTCTTCTTCTTTTCTTCTTCTTCTTCTTCTTCTTCTTCTTCTTCTTCTTCTTCTTCTTCTTCTTCTTCTTCTTCTTCTTCTTCTTCTTCTTCCTTCTTCTTCTTCTTCTTCTTCTTCTTCTTCTTCTTCTTCTTCTTCTTCTTCTTCTTCTTCTTCTTCTTCTTCTTCTTCTTCTTCTTCTTCTTCTTCTTCTTCTTCTTCTTCTTCTTCTTCTTCTTCTTCTTCTTCTTCTTCTTCTTCTTCTTCTTCTTCTTCATCATCATCATCATCTTCTTTCTGTCCTCTCTCTCCTTCTCATCCAATTATCTTAACTAAGTGTTTGGGGAGATAAGGATCTTCTGTATGCTTTGTTGCCATGCTCTGTGTAAGTTGATCTAGGATTCTCTTAGGTTGTTTTTGATGCTGCCGTTCTGTGTTTCGCGTGGTCTTCCCCTTGTTAAGTCTTTATTATGTTACTTCGCTGTGGCTCTCTGTGGCAGCTGTTTTTAAGACATTCTCTTCAGGTTGCAAAACAATGGCACCTGATGCTCCTGAATGGTTGGTTTCCTTTTAACCAAGGTACATCAGTTACAATGCTAATTCTTACACTGCGCAAATTAGCACTCTAGTCTCAGGTTAACCACATATTCTTTTTTGTATGTTTGTCATAATGTGGGATTATCCATGTTTGTTTTTATGTCTGTGTATAACCTGTTGTGATACACTTGACAATATTTAAGAAAATATGCGATGCAATATAGTTTGCAATATTTTGTCCTCCTTATTCTCTCTTTTCCCTTCTTTAGTCCTGGAATGCCTCGCATATGGGGAGAGCACTCACATATTTACAGACCAATCGGCACTAGGTGGTTAATGTGGTCAGCATCACGCCGGCCGTCTTTACTTCCCCAGGACATTTATCCTGGTACCCATTTTAGTCTACATCGACCTACGAAACCCCATACCATCATAAAAATCCACGCAGCCAGCAGTGGGTTTCGATCATGGTACGTTGGAATTACGAGTCGGATCGCAAGCCATGGACGCCGCCAACATCACACGTGCTATCTTTAATTTCCATAAGATTACCTGGTACTTATTTTAGGCTGGGCAGACCTAGAAGCCAAGGTCAGTTTTGTTTAAAAAAAAAAAGCCACTCTGGTGGATTGGAACCCAAGACGATGGCACCAGCAAGCGAGCGTTTATCAGCAATTCTAGGGCCACTACCTTGGCCAAGAATCACCCCCTACTTCCTGAACTCAACAGAACGTCACCTACTACTTCCTGTACTCAACAGAACGTCACCTATTACTTCCTGTACTCAACAGAACGTCACCTCCTACTTCCTGTACTCAACAGAACGTCACCTACTACTTCCTGTTCTCAACAGAACGTCACCTCCTACTTCCTGTACTCAACAGAACGTCACTTCCTACTTCCTGTACTCAACAGAACGTCACCTACTACTCCTACCGAGGCCGATTTTCAGAGTCCACCACGCTGGTCACAGTTCACAAAGGCCGCATCGGGCCGCGAGGCAAGCAGACCTGGAACCGGGAACTGCTGAGTGTGCCCACGGTGCCGCCGTCACACCTCCGGGGCTGCAAGATCATCGACGTCCAGTACAGTATAGAGGTGGGTGTTCTGTGGGACGGCCTGGTTGTGTGCTTCAACCATCTCAGATACTCGTATCAGTGTATGTTTCTTTAAACGTTTTGGACACTTATGTTCCTTTATGTTCCTTCAGCTACATTAGACATGTTGTCTGTTTATATTCTTTGAGCTACATTAGACATGTGTGTCTGTTTATGTTCCTGCCTCTACATTAGACATGTGTTTCTGTTTATGTTCCTTCAGCTTTATTAGACACGTGTGTATGTTTATGTTCCTTCAGCTACATTAGACATGTGTTTCTATTTATGTTTCTTCAGCTTCATTAGACACTCGTGTCTGTTTATGTTTCTTCAGCTTCATTAGACACTTGTGTCTGTTTATGTTCCTTCAGCTACATTAGACACTTGTGTCTGTTTATGTTCCTTCAGCTACATTAGACACTTGTGTTTGTTTATGTTCCTTCAGCTACATTAGACACTTGTGTTTGTTTATTTTCCTTTAGCTACATTAGACACTTGTGTTTGTTTATTTTCCTTTAGCTACATTAGACACTTGTGTTTGTTTATGTTCCTTCAGCTACATTAGACACTTGTGTTTGTTTATTTTCCTTTAGCTACATTAGACACTTGTGTTTGTTTATGTTCCTTCAGCTACATTAGACACTTGTGTTTGTTTATGTTCCTTCAGCTACATTAGACACTTGTGTTTGTTTATGTTCCTTCAGCTACATTAGACACTTGTGTTTGTTTATTTTCCTTTAGCTACATTAGACACTTGTGTTTGTTTATGTTCCTTTAGCTACATTAGACACTCGTGTTTGTTTATGTTCCTTCAGCTACATTAGACACTTGTGTCTGTCTATGTTCCTTTAGCTACATTAGACACTCGTGTCTGTGTATGTTCCCCCAAATACCTCATCCACTTGTGTCTGTGTATGTTCCTTCAACCATCTCAGACACTTGTGACATGTTCATACCCTGTCAAGTTCGTTTTTTTTTTGGGGGGGGGGGGGGGGGGGGGGGGGGGGGGAGAATTCTAAAACTCCCCTTGCCGATGAATTCAGATCTAGTTGTCATCATCATCATCGTTGTCATCAACATCATCATCTTTGTCATCATCATCATCATCATCGTTGTCATCAACATCATCATCATCTTTGTCATCAACATCATCATCATCATCGTTGTCATCATAATCATCATTGTCATCAACATCATTATCATCATCGTTGTCATCACTGTTGTCATCAACTTCATCATCATTTCCGTGTTACCACCCCCCCCCCCCTTTTTTCCCATTATTTGTGTCCATGCACTATTGCCAGGATGCTGTTTATTATATCATCATCATCGTCGTCATCATCATCATCATCACATCCGTGTCATCAGCACCATCATTATTGTCCATACAATATTTTCAGGTTTCTGTTAATCATATCATCATTATTATTACACTAACCATCATCATCCTCCACAGCTGTGTATCAAACCTAGTGGAATCGCCCGGAAAGTGAAACTACCCGTTGACATAGTGATAGGCACTGTGGCCTTGAAGGAGCAGGAACACAAGGTCACCTGTCACCCCCTGCTGTCACCCGAGGACGCCAACTTCCCATTCCCGTTCTTCTCTGCCAGTGACGACAGCCAGGTGTTCCTGTCCGACCTGTCCCTGCACAACATGCTGCCTACCGCCCCGCCCTGGGAGGAGAACGATGACATCCCTTGA